TGAGGGGGTTGAGTGCACGTGTGGGGGCAGAGCACATACATGTGTGTGCACATTGCATTTTGGGGAATTGGCCGCATGTGTGTTTTGGGCACTCCAACTGGAAAATGTTAGCCATCACTGGTCTAGGCCATTTAACTATTGAAGCACAGCATTGTTTATATTAAAAAAATCAAGATACTGCACCACTATATAACCTTACAGCTGGTCACAATATGATCTATAGTTTGAGGCGAGATCCTGCAGTTACATTGAGGGGAGAATACTACATCCCATTTATATAGAGTGTCCCAGCAGAAGCCATGTGAGGTGCAAATCCTATTCAGGATTGTTCAGCGCTGACATGGTCGTTCAAAGCCTAGCACCTTGTTTGAGGAGTCATTTATGTCTCTTCCTATAACTGGGTGTTCAGTGAACCATTTGGCTTTCCATTAAGAATTGATGTTAACAGTTGTTAGCCCAATGTTGTGCAAGTGCCAGTACCCCCACTTGATTTCCTTGATTTGAGTCGTCCTGCTGATAAATGAGGAAGGTTGGCATTGCATTGGTAGGAGTGGTTAATAATTTTTCTGTATTTTCTCACTAGTATTTTCTCCCTTCATAAGGCTGGCAGTGCTATATGGCTCAGAACAGGAAGCCAGCAAGTTAGAGTTTTAATACATCCACTTATAATCGTCATGGCGTTGTTTAATCTGGCAGAATAAAAATTTAATAAAAAAATATTATACTGCAGGTCAAATGTGTAGCAAAAATGCTGGCACAAGCCTGAGCTATGGACTCCTCGTCAACTTTTAGATATAAATCAAAAGTTTATATTAGTAGGAATGTTTTCTCTGTTTTGAACAAGTTGATCCCATATTATTAAGTTAAAATTGAGGCCTAAAACTACAAAGAGTCAAGAAGTCAAGAATTTTTATTTGTCTACTAAAGCAAGGCATCAGTAATACACATCACAAAAAAGTGAGATTTGGGTGTTTTACGTTGAAGTTGAAAGTACACATTTTACAACAGTATTTAAAACAACAGTCGTAATAAAAATACAACTGAGACATCTATCTTACACAAATAATCCTATTTCATTTCAATTGACTGCTAAAATTGAAACTGGAGGTTTGTTTACTTATTTCCTTCATACCAACAGTCATCACTTTCTTTGCGTTTTATAGACTTTGAGAGCTCAGCTGGTAGTACCATACATTGGGACATCTGTATTATAGGATGATGGCATTGAGAAAATATTGTAATATATAATAACAGTTTTCTTCTCCTTGATTCTATATTGATATTAGTAACTCTGGCAACTCAGAACATATGTATAATATTCAGGGGACACAAAGGGATGAATCTCAACAAGCGCTGTGAATCCATGAGATCCAAAGGAAGCTGGGGGAGAAATCTTGCCCAAGTCATTCTTTGAACTTCCATTCCTGTCGGCACATTGGACAGTGCTGTTGAACTTGTTGAGAATTAAGCCACTTCAGTATGCAGTGCATGTGGAAACAGTGTGAACACTGTCCCCACACAAGAGGACAATCATCTCCAGGCACCTTACCTGAAAACACAAGTTTTAATAGGGCAAAATCAAAGGAATACTCAGTTTAGGAGGAAACACACAAACAAAAATTAAGATTAATACTTACAGTCAGGGCAGCATCCATTAAAAGCCATTCGACAAATGCCACAGTTCTCATCATTAGCAACCCAGAGCCAGGAAGCAACCCCATGCCAGCTCTTGATTTTCACCTTCATTGTAGTCAGACTTCTAAGGTCAGAATAGTATCTGAAGGGCAGGAAAAAAAATAAGGTTAACTTCTTTTGTTGCTTTTTATATAGCCCCTTTAAGGATGAAAAACTGTTATTTAAAATAGCATTATTTTACACACAGCTTCATACCTTATAAGAGATACTGGGCCATTGTTTTTGCTAACAATTAAAACTTGGTACTCCTTGGTTGTTTTCTTGCAGAAGCTTCAATATTCAACTAGGGAACATTTTCAGTGTCAGAGGGAATAGGATTTGCATTCTGTTTATAATAGCTTACCTGTGTGCATTGATGGGACCGTTTTCTTCTTGTTGGTTAATGGGATACTGTTAACCTCTTGATTGTTGGTCTGCTACTAATCCTGATGTTAATCCCTGTTTATCTGGATGTTGATTGCTGATGAGGGTTTGGTCTTTTTGTTTCCTTTTTTGTCTCCTTTGAATAGTATGTAAATATCTATGTAAATGATGAATGCATGATAAATATCTATTGCATTTACAAATTAAAAGATAGCACAAAGATTGCCTCTTATTTGGCAGAAGTCTCTGAGACAATTCTTAAATTCCATAAAACAACATTTCATTTACCGAAGAGCAACCTTTTTTACAGGTACACAGGAGAAAAAAAATATCTTAAAAGGTTGCTAAATTAAATGCAATTGAAGCTTGATTCCCAAAAGGCCTTTTATGAGTATTTTTTTTTGGGGGGGGGGGGGGGGTTAAAATAGGAAATCTATCCTGCACAATGTTTTAAAGTTCACCCCTCTTTTGCTTGAAACTGGGTGTTTAATTAGGAAACTAGCATAGGTGAATAAAAAATAAAGTTGCTTTAGGTATTAAATTCTTTAAAATTGTATTAAGCATTTAGAAAAGACTGTAAAACATGAAATATGAAATGCATATAAGAATAAAAGAGTAAAATATAATTGTAGAACAAAAATAATCATGGCATCTATAATGTAATAGAGGTTAGTTTTTCACTATATGGTTAGTTAATTATAAAATTATGACACATCATTTACTAAAGGAAGACTCAAAAGTCCTAATTAAAATTCAAACTAAAAATACAAGGTTAGCACAATATAAGACACAGAACTAAATTTATAGGCTATAATAGATTACGACATGCTGGGAAAGTAATTTCTTATAAAATTCAAATATAAACTATAAATACTAAAAAAGTAACTTAGTATGTGGTACAAATGTACAGAGTAAATGATAATTTAAGAAAAGTTCCATTTAGACCAGATTTACTTTTTAAATGAGTGATTATTTTTAACTTTGAAATATAGTCCTATAACTTAATTAAGAATTCTTTAAGCAAAGGACCAAACACTCTTTCTTATACAATTAGTATATATAAAATTAGTTCTGCACACTTTGAAGAAATATATGGTTTAATAAAATTTAATAAAATATGTCTGGCTGCAAGGAGAAGTCAACTTTCAAACTCTGTCTCACTTAGTATATATTATTTTCCCAAACTATTGAGCTTTACCAAATTGCCATTACATCTGACAAAAAATTATCCACCTTGCTCATTGCACTGACAACAGTTTCTAGAAAATCAGTTACTAACTATAGCAATTAGGACATATTACAATGGAATAACTAGGCAATGATAAAACATCTTGTAACAATTTTATCTGAAAACAATATTTGGAGTAAATTTAAAATTCTTCTGCCATTGAAATTCCCATGGTTGCATCTCTATTACACTATTCAAATTTGGCATCCATTCAATCATGCAATCTTTGACTATCTTATCTCCAAGTCCTATTTCATTAACAGTTTATAAATTAAGTCCATTAAGTTTCAAGTTGCAATTTTTGAAGATATTACCAGTAGTTACAGTCTAACTTGCCTTTTCACTAAAACGAATATAATGGAAAAACTCTTCCTCCAATTTATAAATCTCAGTTGATGCAATTTTACCGCATGCAAAGATAGCTAAACACTAAAATAAACGTATCATCATAAATACTATAAAAATAGTTTGACTCTCTACTGCTAACCCTCAGGAAAACGTAGCAGGATTCTTATTCATTACCAGCTTCGCCATCACATTTTTTTTCTTTACTTGGTCTAGTATTGCAAACTTAAAACCAAGATTGTTTAATTAAACTTCACCTTCGGGGAAAGGGGCAGAATTCGTATTTTCAATTTTTACCTTTGCTTTCTCCTATTATTTAGTCAGATGAAACATTCTGGGCAATTCTAAAACTGGATATTATATTATTATCCTATTGTCTTTGTTCATAACGCTTGATATTACAACACTAGGAAAAACAGGGTGGCAACGGAGGAACAACAAAAAATGCACTTCTGCCAGCGGGTTGAGAGAGAAGGAACGGAAACACGACACACTAAACTAGATGAATTCACACGACCACCTTCATTCCCGGGTTTACTAATCAAGTTGTAAATTCGCAAAGATAAGGCTAACACGTCACTAGGGGGATACCAATTGAGAGGCCGCTGCGAACCCCGCCTGCCTTTCTTCCTCCCTTCCTCCGCACCCCCCCCCCGTCTCCCCATAGCCAGAGGCTAAGGGAAAACTCCACCCACCGCCCCGCCCCTTTTATTGTCGTCGTCCCCCGTCGCCCCCCCAATCACCCTTCGCGCCCAAACTCAGCTCTTCCCACCCCTACCCCCACACCCCCATCAGAGGTCCCCACCCTCTCTAGCCACCCCTACTTCTTCTTGCAGGCCCCGCTCCTATAAAGCCTGGCCAAGGGAAGGCAGCCTTTTATTTCCTTCACGAAACCAAGTTTGTCCGCTGACGCTCTTTCCACCCCTCCATTCCTTATATCCTGCCTCATCCGTTTCCGGTCCCCGGTATAGCGCGGCCGGAAGTGTAGGCCCAGGAGCCGGAGGGAGCCGCCATCATGGGCGACAAAATGGACATGTCTTTGGACGACATCATCAAGCTGAACAGGAGTCAACGGGGCGGAGGTGGCCGAGCCGGAGGTGGTCGAGGCCGGGGAAGAGGAGCTACGGGTCGAGGAGGAGGAGCTGGTCGAGGAGGAGCTGGACGCGCAGGCGGAGGCGGCCCCGTCCGGAACAGAGCAGCTCTGTCCCGGGGAGGCGGCAGGAACAGGCCCGCGCCCTACAGCCGGGTAAGGCCTCACCTAGCAGGTTCTTCCCTCGAGTTACGGGCATGATCGAGACGGAGGAGCGGACTTTTAAAGTTGTCGGGGAAGCGGCGTTGGGGCGAGATTCTCCGGCGCCTTTAAGGGAGGGACGCTCTCTGTTAGGATTTTCGGCGCTTGGTTCTGTATCTTGTGCTTAGGTTTCCTTTAGGCCATAAAATTTGGTAACGAAAATGTTGAACCGAATAGAAAAAATCGGGCTGTAGTGATCGGAGCTCGTTCTCTTCGCAGCCAAAACAACTCCCTGAAAAGTGGCAACATGATTTGTTCGAGAGTTGCTTTGGCCCTGGCGCTGGCGTGGAAACGGGTGGAAAGCTCCTCGTCTCTAATCTGGATTTTGGTGTTTCGGATGCAGACATACAGGTATGTTTGTTCTTAATACTAACAATATTGAAGACACAAACATTTTAGTCTTACTAAAGTCTTCCTGAAATGATTTTTTTATGGCAGAGAATTGATTCTAGCATCAACCTGTAACATATATTAGCCACAATATTCAATATTGATATGCTATATTTTTAAAGTGATAGCATATACTTTTAGTGCCATTTTGTTATAAAATTTTCATGCAATGCTGCTTTATTGCAAACCAACTTTCAGGTACATTTGAACTTTCTGGTAGTACAAATGTTTCATTTGTTAAGGGAACTATTCTGATGGCCCATTCATATTGTTGAACAGATCTGTTGGCTTGTTCTTGAAGCTGGGGAAAATACAAAAATAGCTTATATCTAATTCAAATGCAGCTTCATTTCTTCATTGAATAACTATTGATGTAATGTTATTGCTATCTCTAGGCCGAATCCTAAGACAAAGAGAATGCCAGGAGACTGATATATTGTAGCGATTAGAATAATGTTTCTCAACCTTGGAAATTTTGAGAATGCAGGCTGGGGAAAATTCTGGGAGTTGAAGTTCACATATCTCAAAGTTAGCAAGGTTGAAGAACACTGTATTAGAATATTGACTGGGGAAGGTTCAAATCCACTGTTAGGCTCACAAAGGTACTTTGGTCAGCTGTTATAGCTCAGTCCATCCTCATAGAACAGAAACATGTACAAAATAGGTTTTGTATATAAACTGTCTTCATCTCCCTTGATAACAAATAGAGAAAATCAGTAACAGTTTGACATGAATATTATAAGCAGTTTTTTAATGTTCTGAAATTAGTCTCCTTGACTATAAATACACTGATTTATTGTATTTATAATTTTCTCAGCCGGTTCATATTTTGTACTGGCTTTAATTGTTTTAGAATTGCTGCCCAGAGTTATTTTGGTTGAGGTGGGTAGGTATGGAAAATAGATTGATTGGGAGATGATAAAATATTAATCTTTACATATCAGTTGAAGCAGAAAAAGCAACATTAACAGGAGTGTTTTATAGACATAAGAGCAAAATGACATGCATAGGGATATATTCTCCTCTATTATAATTTCTAGGCTCTCTCAATAAACTCAATAAAGACCCTCTTTACCATTCTCAAATACATTAACCTTGCCTTTCCATTTCAGGAGCTTTTTGCAGAATTTGGGACACTGAAGAAGGCAGCAGTACACTATGATCGTTCTGGACGAAGTCTAGGTACTGCAGATGTTCATTTTGAGAGGAAGGCTGATGCTCTGAAGGCTATGAAGCAATACAATTGCGTTCCCTTGGATGGTATGTATGTACTTGCTAATCATATTGGGTTGTTACAAAAGGATGAGAGATGATCTGACATGGTTTGGGTAATAAACTAGCTACTTGTATATAAGCATTCTCCTTAGGTAGCAAGGAACTACTTTAGGGCAAGTACATGGAATACAATGTAATGAAGTAGTGGACTGGTAGAGGAGTATTCAGAGCTCCATTCTCCTTTCATGTGTCCAGCATATAAATTGATGGCTGCTAGAAGAATAAGAGCCATCTTTTCTGCATGGATCTTTCCCTGACCATTCTCTATGGGCATTTTTTTGCTGTTAGATTTATTTTAAGTTGTTATGGTAATCATGTACATTCTTTTTATTATTCTTAGGACGTCCCATGAACATTCAGCTGGTTACATCACAGATAGATACACAGAGGAGACCAATACAGAGGTAAAAAAAACTTACCCTAATGTTCATTTCTTTAGTTAAGATAGATTATGCTGTAGCCTATAGTTTTCAGGATTTTGTAATGGCACTTGTATATTATTACTACAGACACTGGTAAGTCTACCGTATTCATACAGAAAACTTGAAGTTGATTTTTTTTTACTTAAAAAGTGAAGTGAAAGCTCTGTTTAAGTATTATTACAACATTAGAGTGGGTAACATGTTATGTGGACCACAGTCATTTGTATATAAGGGGAAAAATAAGGGAAAAACACTTTACAATCTGGATATTCCTCACTCAATAGACTGTTCAAGTCATTTTGTATACTTATATATATTTGCATCTTATAGTATAATTGATTTGCTTTCCTTTAAATTAGTTTTCTGAATTTAGAAAAAATAAATTTTTAAAGAATAATCAGATCAAATTTCTTGGTAATTTATTAGTCATGATTCCAGAAAAAAATGAAATGGGAATAGTATCACTTTATATTATTTTCTAAATAATAGTTACATTACAATTTCTCAAGTATCCAAAATTGGTATTTGATCTTATTATATACTTCATATTGCAACCCTGCTATCCAGCAAAAAGATTTTCTATTTCAGAGTTTAGATTCCAACATACTGTTAATTATTATCATAAACCAAAGTAGGCCTATTGTGTATTATGTACTTTGGTACTTAAAATAGAGACTAGAGAAATTCTGTATTTTTCTAAAGTAATTGTAATCAAAGGGCCTCCAGTTTGTAAAAGACATCAGTTACAATGATTCATTTTTGTGGTTTGTTGATCATGTTCTGTGGTAGTGCTTACTTTTACATTAGCCTCCAGACTGATGTACTTTGCATTTTCACTTATATATGACTAAGCACCTCTAATTCTGTATCTCTTTTGATATTAGTGTAAGTAGAGGAGGTATGACAAGAAACCGTGGTGGCTCAGGTGGCTTTGGTGGTGGCAACAGACGAGGCAGTCGTGGCAATAGAGGCAGAGGCAGAGGTGCTGGTAGGAGTTCCAAACAGCAGCTCTCTGCAGAAGAATTGGATGCACAGTTGGATGCTTATAATGCTAGGGTGAGTAATTTACTAAAGACGATTGAGGCAGGATGTTGCCCTGCTGAGTGAATGGGCATGTACAGCTCCTATAACTTTGCAGCAATTTTTATGTTAAATAGCTAATTGGCATGTATGTTTTCAGTTGCTTGTATGCTCTTCCTGGGTATGAAAACCACACTAATGTGAAAGCAATCCTGACAACACTAGTTAATTATGAGTCTAGTATGATTATCTGATCATGTTTATGTCATTGAAATTAACATGATGGAACTTGTATTGAACCACAAAATCAAGTTCTATAATGTAATAGCAATTCTAAACTACGTTTTTCATGAATGTATCCAGATGTATTTTCCTTTTTTAATTGCTGTTCTGCTTGGATCAGATTGGATTTTATAATGTTATAAATATTATTTAGAACTAGAATTGTATTTATGTGTGTACACTGTACACATGCATGAATGCATAAACCATACATTGTTATCTATAAGGCCATGGCACTAGTGAAACATTATAGAATCAAGATCATGGTCTATTATATATAAGTAGCTTTAATAAGTTATTGCCATTGCTACTGAATGATCATCTCTGAAAATTAGCATGTATTAAATGTTCAGCAGGCCTGCATTTAAATTGAGATAGGTTCAGATATTTATGCATACATATATATGGAAAGAACTCTCCATCTTTTAAATGTGTTTAAAACAACTTTTCTCATGAAAATCTAGAATTTGGGGATTGTGCTCCTTCAAATACTTTAAAGCTGAAATTGAAAGTCATTTTGAAAAAAATCCTTTCCTGGATGTGAATCTGCCTTGAAATAATTCATGGCAAAGTATGTAATATCAGTTATTTCTGCCACTAGAGAATCAGTATGCTTAGCCTGTTGCTTTCTTTAGCTTTCAGTTAATTGTTTACAGACAGGTAATTGTCTTTTTGTTTATTTTTAGATGGATACCAGTTAAATCTAATGATGCGTCACATGCATGGAAAGGACTGCAAACATCTCATTCCATGCTCCCTAGTGGGAGGGAAAGGGTGTATAGCGGCGGCTACTAATATCAAGAATGGGATTTGTTTTACTTTTATGTTTTGAAATAGGTTTTAAACTCATGTAAAGGTTTCTTTCTTTTTTTTAAATTCTGAAACAGATCTGTTTTGTACCGAGTTATTTTTGGGAAAAATTTTACTGGTTGCCTGTTGGGCCAAAGTGGCTTTTTCACTTTGGC